AGGCAACTTTCTCAACATGTCTAATATGTATAAAAGGTATGTCCACATCGATCATGTTGACATGTCTAACATGTTGATATGTCTAACTGTTTACTCGGATGTATGGAGGTTCTTAATTTACTGCTACAAGCTTCATTTATTTCTGAAATTATATTCTACAAGTTAAAGAAACAAACTTTAATGATTATCTTTACATATTTAATTCAAATTATGCCACCAAATAACATGATTAAATCTATTAAGTTTTATTCAATTCCATCATATTCTAATTCATTTGACATATTTTGTTTTTTTTCCAAATCAACCTTGATTAACATTTTCTCATTAAAATCATTATTATATTCATTCCCTTATCAAGAAGTTTATGAAATTATAAAAAGGGTTCAACATAATAAATAAATTAATTAAAATTGATCAAAATAGTCATGTCTCTTATATAAAATGGTTTTCTAACCATTCCTTTCACAAATTTACCCAAATATTACTTTTTCCGCAAGTTCCACATCCACCATTTGCAGACCTAGGTAAAAAGAAAATCATATTGTAGATATGCGCAATTTTGAACATGAGTCAAATCTGATAATCTTTTTTTTTTTGAGTCCGCAAGTGATAGTCGTGGAATTTACGAATGTATAAAATTTGGATAAATCACGAAAAAAAAGACTAAAAAACTAATTTATACAAGTGAAATGACTATTTTAACCATTTTCGTAAATAAATTGATGCTTTTGTTTTATTAACATAAAAGTTACCAGCTTTTTTCCTTTTTAAGGTAAATAAAGGTTATATGGTCGGTTGAAAGCAACTAATCTAACCGAACGGCCGACGCCAAGTGGGTGACGTGGCAGGAAGTTGTACGATTATTTCTTCAGTTGGCCAGGTAATCAACTTCAAAAGTGGTAACTTATAAACGTAGCAGAAAAAGTCGTGTTTCTACTTTGCTGCCAAAGTCAACCAGTTTGACCAGCCGCAAAAGTCGTTTCGTAGTGCTTTCCTAATTTAAAAAAAAAAAACTTTATTTGGATAAAAGAAAAAGAAACTTGTTGAGACTGAGGCCTCATAAATTTCTAGACATTTATTTCGGATTTGTAATGTTGTAAGTTAGTTACTGTTGATATAGATTCAAATTTAAGGATTGTTTATTTACTATTTAATGGTTCTAAAACCTTATGAATGATTTTGTATTATGATTTTTTTTCTTAACCATTCAACGTCTTAATTTAATTGTAAACAATTATATTTTATTTTACAGTAAATTATAAGAGTTTCTTAATCATTTTAACCACTTAATCAGTATGTATCAAAGTATTAAACAACTGTTAAACAACCCGTAATCCAATTTAAACTTAAACCAAACATGAAATTTTATTTTCAATTTATTTGTTATTTTCCATCTTTTATTGAGTTTAAAAGATTAAATATAAAGTTAAAACTAGTTACTGATATACAGTAAATTTATAACTTAGTTAAAAAAGAGGTTGAAAATCACTCAGAATATTATTTAAATGTTTATAAATATTGTAAACTACTAGAAAAAATTAGATTATTATCTATACTATATTATAAAGTATTTGACAAAAACTTTTAAAAACCATTTTTTATGCATAAAATATTGTTTATTGATGAATATTACTTAAATTCAAGATTACAAGTAAATCGTGCATAAGTACAACTTATTAAAGCTTCATGTTTGAATTCGTGTAACTAACTACAAATAAACATAATCTAATATAGGATAAACATCTAATTTTAAATATAAAATATATCTAAAATAAAATTAAGACAATCATTGAGTTCTAACATAATATTTAATTATTATCTTTATAAAAAAAATTATATTATTAAATCTAAATTAAATTACTTTGTTACATAAATTAAATTATAATAAAAGTTTGAATTGCGAAATTGCACAAAACAAATACTTTTAAATAGTTAATTTGATACTAATATTTATATAAACTTTTTAAAATTTTATAATATTTTAGAATTTATACTTTATTTAAAAATAAAAACATTATTGTTTTCTTAAACCGTATTATATCGATATAAATAAAGAATAGAAATGTATTGATACATTGTATAAATACCTTTTTAATATTTTAATAATAAGTATTTAATACGAAGTAATTCCGTAGTAGTGGCAGGTAATCAATATGCAAGAAGCTGACTTTACGTGGCAATAACTTCCAATGTGATTGTTTGAATATGGAGTGCTCAGCTCATACTCACTTTCATCAACTACGTTATCAATCTGACGGTCGTTTTTGTAGCAGACATGTCGGCCGTCTTCTTGGAAGGTCAAAACATTGTGGACCCCATTCTTAAAGAATTTCGATTTACCCCCTCATACTTTTTAATCGATTGCATAAATGGCTCAAGATGGAATAATTAATAATTAAACCTACTACTAGAGACTCTTTGTTAAAGACAAACGTCTCGACTTTTACATTATAGAAATTAATTTATAATTATTTATCTCTTGTTTTTTTACAAATTATTAATTTATTTTCTTAATGTACGATGGATGCTACAGCCATAATTACTTTTCACACCAATGAGTTCCATAATTCCGAGCGCTGGATAAGAAAGATCAAAAGCACATTACGGAAAATTGGTGTCGATTTTGCTGGCAATGGATCCTGAGAGAGGGAATATCATGATCTTAACTGCTAAACAATCTGAAGCAATCAGAGCCATTCTTGAACAAAAGTTTATGAAACAAGTTGTCATTATATCACAAGAAATCAGCTATTCAAATCCCTGCATATGTTGAATATTCGTTAAAATTGGTGAAGCTTTGTTGAGAATATTTGAAGCTGATGGATTGGATAATGTGGAATTCAACCAATTGAATATTTTCAGGTTCAACTTTACTGACTACGACAACCGCTCTAATACTGGTGTTGCTATTAAAATTGTTATTTTTGAGTATATTCCTCCATCATCACTGCCGCCGCCATTACCACGAACCTTTGAACCATCAACACCACTGATCCACATCGATCCAAGTGAAGATTATGTGTGGCCTTCTTGTTTCTCTTCCACTTTCCCTTTTCGCAACGATGATTGGTCATATGATTGTTGCACCATGATATCATTTCTAATTTTGATCAAGGGTATATATTGGTTTAGTCTCTTTGTAATACGAGTTTGTGGTCATTTTCTCATCTAATGATGCATACATACGTGAGTTTGGTAATAAGATTAGTTTTTTTTTTAAATATAGGTTCGTTCCAAAGGAGGTATGATTTCCAAATATCATGTGGTCTTTCTTGTCTAGCCGACGTGATGTTCCAACACCCTCATTAAATAGAGGCTAGACAGTGCCCCCAAGAACAAAAACAAAAAAGTGTGAAGAACCCATATATAAGTAGTGCTAGTTCCCGATCCTGATTTTATGTTTGGTTAGACAGATAAAGTGAACATTGAAGAAGACGATTACATTGCTCAAAAGGGAATCTAAAGAACATTATACACAAAATACAACTATAGTTAAGACCATAATGGTCCTACTAAGTACATGCACAAGTCCCTTGCCCTCCAAACCCACTTTTAGTAAACAAAAAGAGTCTGAGCTTTTCAGGTTTGGATCAGGCTTTGCGATAAAGTAAGGGTTTGATTGGGCTTTAAGTCGGACTATTTCGGCCGACAAAACAGATTGTTATCAAGTGTTTTTAACGGATAAGTATTATCCGTCACTTATTGGGTAAAATTCTTAATCTTGTTTATATCTTTTACCAGATAAGATTTTTAGGTCTTTGTCATATACATTCAGAAGGTAAGTTACATCACTTACCCCGTAAGTATTTAATAAGCGATTGCTAAGTATTATTTTCATTGGGTTTATTATTCATTTTCATCAAATTAAAATCAAAACGTTTTTTTGAGTTCGTATTTAATCCAACTACCTAAGTAGTTGGAAAAGTTCTTTAATATTATAATTAAAAATATGATAATAATAATAATAATAAAAAAATTGAAGCAAATTAAATATCAACAAACTGAATCACGCTACATGCTCCACCCACGGAGCAGGTATTTTAATACTAGACAGCAAGAAGATGAAGCGAAGCATCGAGAACTTCTGTTCTTCCACGTCAGCTACTTCAACTAACACGTGTCACGTAACTATTGGAGGATCCCCATGTAACTTAAGCCGCTCAGGGAGCCGTTTTGGTACACGAAGTAACCGGCTATTCCGCGTTAAACTTGCGTCAGTAAAGTGTCTGCATTAGACCCCTATACTTTCAAGTGTTTGCATAAATGGCAACATAGATTTGTGTTATTGTCAAAACTAGCCACCCCGCAATTTTCATTTTCGTAATACAAAATAATTGCATCCTACTTCACATTTACACACCCAAAAAGTCAACATTTTACATAAAAAACCATAAGAATACATTTATCACTTTAGATTACTTCAATGTGAAGCTCGTATAAATCGATGTCTGAATACTTGTTTAAAAATAAACCGAACCTATTTTCAACCGTTAAAAATATTATATATATAGTAATACATGTATGATTATCAATTTATACTTTGATCCATTATTTTTAATCATCCTTACTAATACCTAAATATCAATAAAATAATTACGGGTTCCATGATTCCATTTTTTGTTTGATAACTTCGTATTATGTACAATTCGATGTCCGTTACCAAGCAATTACTTAAAAACGTTATCGTTTAAAGAAGAGTAAAAAATGATCTTCTATACATTTTGAATTCAGGACGAATGTTCTAATAAATCTTTTATGAAGTTTACTAATCTAATTTCTCCGTCGAATATATATCGCGTTTGTCTTCTCCATAAAATAACAAAGTTATGACTTTGTATGTGTATATACAAGACTTAAAATTCTTGGAATGATATATATAACAAAAAAGAGGTTAAGAAGTCAATGAAATAACTTAAAATATTAAGCACTGCCCTTGCGTAAGGACCAATCCATTCAGCTCTTTGATCAGCCTTTCTTCTATATAAGCCACCTTTGTTTCCTCAATTCTCTCTATGTCCTTGCTTCATCTCCTATCCAACTCCAGCAAACACCAAGCCATAAAGTTTGTAAGAATTCTCATATTGTGTTCTTAATTTCATTGCATTTTTATGTGTTTAATTTCTTGAATTTTGATTCATGTAGTTGTATCTACATATAAATTGTTAGTTATACCATGAATAACATTTTAAAGTGGTGCAGAAACTTCTTCATCTTCATCTTCATCTTCATCTTCTTCCTTCGCAAATTAGGGTTTCCYGGTTTGAGCAACTCTCTTTTTATTTCACTGCAATCGTTCTTTGATTTAATTTTACTATTTATTTCAGAATTAATCTAGCAAAATACTTGTTAATTATTTATTAGCTGTGCTTTTTTTAATTAATATTCTATTATCTGTTTATTTATTTAATTATTTATAATAATTATCTTCTTCATTATTGATTTCTTGAAAGATCTAAGTACTGGATGCAAATTAATATCCATAAATGTTCTTAGATGAGCTGTATATATGTTGAAGAAGTCAAACTAAAAGATCGTATTGTAAGTTAACTATTGAAGGCACCATCAATTACATCTTGAAGGGGGGAAAAGAACTCTTTTTTTATTTTCTAACACATTATATAATTCATGTTATTTATATTTTTGTTGGGTTTGTAACATTTTACAGAAAAAATCAACTATGGCTGTCACTATTCCAATTTTAATTGATCTTCAGATCAATCAGTTCTGTCCCTGTGAAGGATGCATTCGAAGGGTGAAAACCACACTCAGAGAAGTTGGTGGTGTCGAATTGTTGTCGATGGATCTTGACACTGGGAAACTCACRATTTCAACCGCTAAACACCCGCAAGTAATTCAGTTTGCTCTTCAAAAGAAATTCAAAAAAGTTGTTGATATTCTACCACAAGAAATCAATAGGTTGTTCGGTTTTGATACGAATGTTCAAGATATGGCAGAAGCACTTGTGAAAGTATCGCATGCCAAAGGATTAGAGAGTGTGGAATACAGACAATCGAATACTTTRAAGTTCAACTTCAACCAACCATCTTCGTCTTCATCTAGATTACCAACGGCTACATACCATGATGTACGAGGTTCTAATGGTGTCCGAATTACAGCTGATGATTATGAATATGTTGTGCCACCACCACCGCCACCAACCGCCGAGCCATCAGCTCCACTCATTCCCACAACTCAAGATCAAGTTACTGGATATCCTGCTGATCAGTTTTATGGTACTTTCTCAAAAACCTCAAGAAACCATCATTCGCATGATTGTTGCACCATTCTTTGAGCAAACCAGATTTTGTTATATGTGGTTGTGCTTTATATGCGAGCTTGGAGCCCTCTTCGATTGTTTTAATCCTCGATCATGGTTTTTAGTTTTTTTTTTTTGTTCTACGTTTTTACGCTTATACTCGAAATTAGGGATCATATGTTTGTATGTGCAACTTGGGGTTTGGACATATTGTCGTACACCCCCAACAACATTATACTTGTTTGATATCAAATAAAACATATTTTTATACACAATATTTTTTATTGAAATCCTTTCTTTGATCTGTTGTCACATAGGCCTATGGTGTGTGGTTAATGGGTGATCATTTGACTCTACTGACTTTATATAATGGTACTCGATTCTCGGACTAAGACCAAGGAAACCCGATATCAATAATGTTGCTTTCAGATCACGGCCCTACGACTCTTTGAGAAACTACCCAATTCCAATTCCAATACTAAATCAAAATCTAAGATACCAAAAGCTCCAACTAAAAGAAGATCACAACATATATATATATAACAGCCTTAAACATATGGAGGTTGAACCAAAGAGTCTTTGACATAGCGGTATTCTAGTCTTTGACTTCCTAAGAGATCAATGGTTCAAACCTCACCAAAGGTGAGGAGGGTATGTGAGTTTATTGGTTGCATTTGTCGTATATAAATATTATATATATACTTAAAAAAAACATATGGAGGATGATTTTAGAAATTTTTCAAAAGGAGGCACTCATCATTAATAACTCCATAGAAATAGAAACCGTTTAATATCCTCATTGAAGTGTTTCAGTGTAAAATTTGGTATTTGATCTAAGATTTGATATCCCCATTATAGATGTTGTTATAGGTTCAAAAATAACAACCATCAAAATTTATGACGCTACAAGAAAAAACAGATCTTTTCCGACCACCTTAAATTTTGTTGCCGAAAAATCAAACTAAATATCATCAAAGTCTTGATCTGAAATTGAGCCCTGATTCAACAATGAAATAAAAAGAGTAACAATTTGTTGTTGTTTCGTCTTCTTTTCTACTCCATGAAATCTCAATTTGGGAGTTTTACAATAGGGTTGGTTTGTCGATGAACACAAAGGGTGTCAACCCATTTTCTGACATGACTTATTGCTTCTGTACCATTTTTTTCCATTTGATTTTGATCTTCTCTGGGTTTCAGCTTTGTTGTATAAACCAATTTTGATTTTAGGCTATGTTGTGTGTGTGTATGTGTGTGTGAGAAAGAGCAAGTTGTGTTATGGATGGAGATGGGGAGGGTGGCCAGAGGATGAAGCAACCGATTGGGTTTATGTATTTCACCCTTGAATCCTTCATATACTTGTACAAATAGCATCAAAGTTTGTACTCTAAAAAAATCATATACATGTCATCATTTCATAGTTATATACATATTTTTAAATATGACATCGAATTTTGTTGGTATTTACTTGGGCCATGTCATCACTAGGAGGTCATTAGATAATAGAGACTCTTAAATAAATTAAAATTTTGTCGATAATTTTAAAAGTTTGTTCCCTAAAATAAGAATCTACACAAAATTGGTTCTATTCTGATGCAATAATACGTGGATACTCGTATCACATGCTAAAGTGTTTGTTTGTATAACTATCAAGAATCATCAACGAATCATATAAATGTAATATTTTTATTAATGATACGAGTTCTTTATCCAACCATGACACTATTTTATCTTCCTTATTTTCAACATTATTTTATATGCTTTAAGAAAATTTTAATGGAAGATTGAACGATTCTTATCTTAATTTGTCTCTATCTGTCCCAATTGGGCTCATCATGACTAAGTCATGTTGGAGTGTACACATAGGTTTTTTCTTCATTCAACGAGGTGGTCCCCTCTATCTGTATTTGACATAATTGTTGATCATATGATGTTTTATGGGAAAAAAGAGTATTTCTTATGTTGTGTGAACCCATGTAAGATTCTAGTAACTTGACCTTGCATTTATGAGTATTGGCATACAATGATATATCAAGAAACAAGCCATAAAATAATTCGTACATAAAACGCTAATTTTATAAATAAATAAATAAAAACCAATTCTCTATATTGAGATATTTAAACAGTGTAAGAAAACCTCCTTCCCATCATGTAAATACACCCATGTTGACGTAAATGGCAAACCACAAGGATGTGACCGATTGGTTTGACCTTGAACTCTAGATGTCAAAAGTATCTGGAGGTTATAGGTTCCCGTAAAACGGATGATTATCTTAGGATTATACTGCTCGTATAGCTGATTGTATGTTCAGTTCAATGAAAAAAACAATAAGTAGCAAAGAAAATAATGAATTATATTTTAAAAATATCTGCAAGGAATCTCATGTAGGATGTTATGTCATATTAAATAACTATTTAAATCTGCCTTAAATACACATTTTTTTTTCATTTATTAAAATGGATTTATAAAGAAAAAGTATTATTTTCTTAAGGAAAAAAACTAGAGTAATCTGCATTTTCGTTTGTTTTTATTAAAAATTGTGAATTTCGTGTGTACTTTTTGGAATTATAGTTTTTATTTTTATAGTATAGATATATAGTAATATGTGTATGATAATCAGTTATACTTTGATTCATTAATTTTTAATCATCCTTACTAATAATTAAATATTAATAAATTAATTACATGTACCATGATTTCTCTTGATAACTTTGTATTATGTATAAGACCAAGCAATTACTTATAAACGTTATCGTTTAAAGAAGAGTCAAAAATAATCTTCTCTACACTTAAAATTCCAACGAAGGTTCTTATTCTTTTATAACGTTTACTAATTTAATTTCTCCGACGAGTATATATCGCGTTTCTCTTCTCCATAAAATAATAATAAAGTTACGACTTTGTATGTGTATCTATAAGACTTAAAATTCTTGGAATGAAATATATAATAAAAAAGAGGTTAAGAAGTCCATGAAATAACTTAAAAAATTAAGCACTGCCCTTGTGTATGGACCAATCCATTCAGCTCTTTGATCAGCCTTTCTTCTATATAAACCCACCTTTGTTTCCTCAATTCTCTCTGTGTCCTTTCTTCATCTCCTATCCAACTCCAGCAAACACCAAGCCACAAAGTTTGTAAGAATTCTCATATTGTGTTCTTAATTTCATTGCATTTTTATCTGTTTAATTTCTTGAATTTTGATTCATGTAGTTGTATTTAATTACATATAAATTGTTGGTTATACCATGAATAACATTTTAAAGTGGTGCAGAAACTTCTTCATCTTCATCTTCATCTTCTTCCTTGGCAAATTAGGGTTTCCCGGTTTGAGCAACTCTCTTTTTATTTCACTGCAATCGTTCTTTGATTTAATTTTACTATTTATTTCAGAATTAATCTAGCAAAATACTTGCTAATT